AGAGCGTTTGTTTGGCCACACGTTTTGGCTTGCCATTGCACAGTCTTCTCACTTATGCTCCTTTTCTGTAACAGTTGCCAAACTGAACAGATATGGCTGATATTACTGTACATGCTTAGAAAAGGAAACATTGACTCACTGGGTTTGTTATTTTTGCTTTTTTTGATTGGTACCCAAACTCAGCAAGTTGCCAGGAAGTACGGTACTTCATATGATCGCTTAGTAGAGTCAAGATAGGCATCTTGGGTATGTAATATTTTTGATCTAGGGTAAAAAAAAACTTATTTGGCACCACAAAAGGTCGGCCCATCTATGCTGTGCTGGCCTTCTCTCCCTGAAGCAGCACAGTTGTGGCCAAGGCCCTTCTCCAGGCAGCACACGGTCCTTGCAACAGTTGTGTCATAATGTAACGAGTGCCGTCAAAATACAGAAATGAAAACTAGCAGGTAACAAAACATGGGTATTAAGAGAAACATACTAGTAAGCCTGATTTCAACCTTTTCTTTATATTTACCATCTTTCTGTCTCTCTGGCTTTGTTAAGGTTTGCTTCATTTCAAAAAGAAAAGAATACGGGATCACATCAGGACCATTTCCAAACAATACCTCAATGCATAGGGTAGAAGGATGGTCCATTCAATTCATTCAGCCATGCCAATTTAGTTATCTTGGGAGTGAAAGGAAAAAAAGAGAAAGGAGGTATAATAATTTGGCCTAATCATGTTTGTATTTCAAATATTTGTAAGATTTTAAATGCAACTTAATTTCAGCTTGAATGGTAACAAAAGCACAGAAGTGTAATGGCAAATTTTCTAAAGATTTAGGACTCTGGGTGTTGTGCTTGCTTGAAAATTTGGCTGTACTATTGCAGGCAGAATTCTGAACAACAGAATATTTAGTAAGTTCCCTATGCAGTTTCTATGTGGCTTGCTTTGAATGATTGTTCCCAGGTTAATGTTTGAGAGTTTGAGTCCCCAGGCATGGTTGTTTTAGTGAAGTGTATGAGGCTTTCAACTGATTTTAATTCATTAATTTTAATTAAGGAAAGATTTTCTACAAGTGCTAGGTATAACTCACTTGCCATTGTTCTAAGCAAGGGACGTGGTGCAAGCTATATTTATCCAGCCAGGGATGCTGTAACAGAGCTTAAAATAAAGTGGTGTCCTCTTACACGTGTTGGGAACAGGGGGTTCTGAGGAGGGGATGAGAGATGTTTCTAATGCTAAAACCAGTCTCCAGTACTAAATCTTTTAGTAGCTCTTATGAGTTAAAAATATGCTCCAAAACCAGAGAGTTAAACATGCATCATTTTTTGACTCCTTGGACCGTGCCTAGTTTGTGTCTTGAAAGCCTCCCTGAAACGGAAAAGTCATCGTATCTTTTTCCTCCGCAGCCTGTAGGGAAGATCTGGCAGAGGGTTTGGGGAGGGAAAGTCCCATGTCATCAGAACCTCCCTCAGGGTCACAAGATGAATTGCATGAAATGCCAGCCTGAGCTGGGCTGTAAGACTAACTGTGTTGTAACTCCGGCAAAAGAAAATTGCTCTCTGAGGTTTGCTCAGTAGTTTTGAAAGATAAAGCTGAAGAAATAACTGAAATGGCAAGTGAAATCTAGAAGGGAATATAAAGGAGGTTCCTGGAAAAGAATTGGCCTTATGGGAATTAATTACTAAACAGGATCTAACATGCTAAAGCACCTCTCTTCTGCTCATTTGAGGTTTTAAAGACTTAATTTTATTTTTGCCTTTTACAGAATTGCAGGTGTCACAGAGAAGAATAATCTTCATCAGCCCAATGGTCAACAAGGATATGAACTCTGCTATTTTTATCTAGATGGATGAAAAGGTTAACAGCCCAGAAGGGGAGCTCCTTTGGTTTTCAAGATGGCAGCAACCAGTGGCGAAAGCCAGCTGCAGCGGATTATCAGAGACTTGCAAGGTACAATGCCGTGCTGACAGATTGATTCTGTAGGCTGGAATGCATCCTCCGTGTTTTATATAACAGAGAGTAGAAGTTTTGTTTTCAGTTGTGTAACACTTCTGTGCTGCAATTGTAGCACCGTGGTTCAAGGTGTGTGATGTGCTCAACAGAGATGTGACTAATTTTTTTGTGAGAATGTGCTGTACCTTCTGCAGGATCCTAAATTCTTAAATCCTGCAAATTTAAACATACAAGATGAAAAATAAGTTTTACAATTAAAAAAAAAGTGTCTGTAAGGGTATGTGGTGCGAACTAGGATTTTGTTGGCATGAATAGAGCTATGCTGTTACAAGACTTCACGTGAGATAAGGAGAAGGCCTGATTTTTAGACCCTCCCTTGATAGGAAGCTGGTGTGGAGTTGCTGCTAATGTAGGAAGGGAAAACAACAGAAGGCCAAACCAAACTGGAGACCTGGAGGAAGAGTGCTGGAGAATTGGACCTGCTGTTCTTGCTGCGGTGGAACATGCTTTCTATGCACCTGACTTGTCCTCCTCTAGCAATAGCCAACATCATTTTCTACTGCTCTGGTGCAGGCAAAATTGGCAGCAGATTGATAATCATTTTCCTGCTCTGTCTCTGTCCTAACCCACTGCCTATACCAAGATCCAGATATTCTTCCTTTTAAATTTTATTAAATATAAGGTATGACATGCACCAAAGCTGGGAATTTAGATCTTCCCATAACACGAACAGGAGATCTACCTGCCTGCTAACAAGAAGAAATTTTAGTTTGCGAAGGGGATCAAGTGGGGCTGGGAGCTAAGGCTCACTCAGGCACCTGAAAGAAATACAAAACCAAATGGAAAGGAAGCTCAAGACCAGTAATTTCTGATGCTGAGAAGTACAACCTTTTGGGGCCATTGTCCAAGGAGACAGCAGAGTTTGCTTTCACTTGAGATTTCCTCTCCCACTACAGGTATAGGTTTTAGGGGAGAGAAGTCACTGTATGCTTATTTTTATGTAAATTACTTTTTCCACTTGTGTTTTGTAACCAGCAGAAGCTGAACCTTCCTGAATAAAACATGGAGAAGATAAATGTGCTGACTGGACAACTGTTCTTGTGTTACTGATCCCCTTTAGCAGATTACATGCTTTGTCCTTTCTAATCAGAATTCTGTTTGTCCTGTGGCAATACCTTAATGTGCACATGAGACAGCAAAAAGTTATTTCTCTTTCCTCTGCTGATCAACCAATTAGTAATTGTCTGTTAACCGGTTTTTGCTAAGTGTCAGAAGGAGGTTTTGCTCTTTTTAAGGAGAAGCAGTAGTCAGTACACATAACTTGAGCTCTTTTTTTTTTATAGATGTTAAATTGCAAGCATATCAATAAACTTTTTGCACTGTTGTTAAGACAGTTGGACTGAAAGAAACTGAATATACATGCGTAACATCCAGGCAGAAAATCCATTTATTTAGTTGTGTATGGATTCAGTGCTATATATCTCTTGCATTAGTTAACCAATTTGGTGTCTTTTTTTAAAGATGCTGTGACTGAACTAAGTAAAGAATTCAAAGAAGGAGGGGAACCAATCACAGATGACAGTGTCAATTTGCAAAAATTCTCCTACAAGCTTGAGTACCTTCTACAGGTAAAAAGTGATGTGTGTCATTTGTAATCCACCATCAAAGCTAAGCCTTGTTTTCTCTTATTGCCTCTTCAGTATGTGGGGGTTAACTCGAATAATCATAAATATCCAGTTGAGTCTCTCTCTTCCCCGCCAACCCCCCAAGTAAGTAGACTGAAGTGTGTGCTGCTTATTATACTTATCCAAGTGAAAGTAAATAAATGTAATCAAAAGGCAGTGCTGGCAGTTTGATTGAAGAATGTAAGGCATTTTTGTATTGATCTGAAAGATTGGAGCTTGATTTTAAAGATATAGCTTGCTAAATTGTCTTGGAAAAACTGTGGTAATGAAATCTTGACAACATTTTGATGCAAAATAAATACTCATAAGCTGTTCACGGTGCAAATACTGTGAGTAATTTACAAAATTTTTAGCAATTTCATTTTGGAAATTAATTTTTATTGTATGGAAAGCTTAACATAAAAGGCTGATTTTTTAATCTGGAATGCTGCTTTTTGGCCATCCTCAAAATTTAAGTAAAAGGGGACACTGGGGGGCAAACTGAAATTCCGTCTGCATAGTCTTGTGTCTACACATACTGTAATCATGTCACTGATTGCAACAAAAACATGCTAATCCAGCCTTAATCTAGGCAAGGATGTTTTGATTGGGTTGCAGAGACTTCAGCAGAAGATGAAGTATCCTTTGCGATTTGAATGGTTCAAGCTGCATTGCTGCTCTGAATGTGATTTAGCTAGAGCAGATTTTTCTGGTGTGTACGTGTGTGCTGTTGCCACACTTGATGGCAGGTCTCTCAGCAACTGGTTGTTAGTTCCTTGCTCTTGAACAGCTGCTGAATCTGCTGCAAGTCTTTGTTTCAGCAGTTTTGAATAGATGTCTGTATTTTAACTAGACCCAGAACATTATTATCTGTTGCTGTCTGTAAAGTAGCTTTTGTAACTGCTGGATTGCATCAGTGCAGTACAATGTCTTTTTCCTTTGTGAATACATTGGCTAAAATGAAGAGGAGTCATGAAAGCACATGTTGCTGGGAGAGGAAGAGAATTCCAAGTAGCTATATATAAGTTTATTTATATTTAAGTTTTGCTCATTGCTTTTTGTTTTCCTTGTTTAAGTTTGACCAGAAAGAAAAAAACACATTGCTGGGGAACAGAAAAGACTACTGGGATTATTTCTGTGACTGTCTGGCAAAAGTCAAAGGAGCTAATGATGGAATTCGCTTTGTCAAGTCTATTACAGAAGTAAGTATATCAGCTAAGCATCATAATAGTTGGTTTGTGTTTTGGTGTGTCTTTTCAGAAAGCAGTAGAAAGCAAAAGAAAATGTGCTGCTTTAAACATAAAAAAAAAAAAGTTGGGAATTTTTATTTTTAATTATTATGGAAAGTATAAAAATGCGAGGTTACTCTTTTTACTAGGGCACTAAATTATATAGGATTAGATAGCCTGACTCTTACTTGTTTTGAAGACCACTTACACAAGTGAATGGTCCTTTTTGTCTCTGGTTGTGCCCAGCCTTTTCATAAACTTAGTGCCATTTTTTCTAGAAAGGAACAAAAAATTAAGTCAAGGATAGAGCCTGCCATCTTCAGCACAGCTTAAGGCAGGACTTGCTCTAAGAGTAAGAGGAAAGATTCACCATGTTTGACATTTCTTAACACTTTTTCGACTGGTCAGTAGAGTTGAAGAGAAGTAACTGAGAGCAGGGTTTCATCTTCTGTCTCAACTTTTTTTCTCCATGTCAAATATCATGACTTAATGGCTCAGAATGGTTGTCATTATTCCCTCAGGTAAGCTGTCATGAACAGGGCAAAAAGCTTTATTTTTGTTAGATATAGTAATTAAGCTTAATCTTATAACAGCCATGTTATGTCTTCAGCTCAATGAGTGGGTGAAGTAAGTGCGATGAGAAGCCTTCTGTGCTGATCCTGCCTGAGTCCTTAGAATCATTTGAAGAACAACTTCCCTTGTAGGTAAAAGAGGCAGTGGTGTGGTGGTGCTGGCCAGCATTATCCTGATGCTCAGCTCTGTTATCTGTGAGCACACAGAAGTGCTAACTTCTATTAGCAAGTTACTATTTACAGCAGATTTCCCTATACTCTTAGCAATTCCTCCACAGCAGCTCTAGATAACGTTGTCCTGAGCCATCTTGAGCCATCCGCTATACTCTAGCAGAGGCAGGCTCTGTGTTCCCTACCTCACTTTCTTCTCTCAGCAGCTTAGGCAATATTGAATTTTGCTGTTCCAAGGCAAAAAAGCCAAGGAAGGGCTCCAGTTTTTTTTACCACTGGGAAGGGAAACGTAAGAGCCATGGAAATTGGGTTTGACTTTCCCACTGCTTCCAGGAAGACTGGAGAAGGACAGTGACTGCTACTGCAGGAAAGATCCTTTGGCTGTAGTTACTGGCTCCTAAATTCTCAGCAGCAGTAGCCAATCTGATTTCTTTGCAAAGGTGAATGTACTGTAGCCTTCAACAGTCTGTTGCCTGTGGTATCACCTGCATATTACCACATGTAAAGGCTGCTCTGCTTTTTCCTCCTCCTTCAATACCTCTGACTGTTTAATAGCTAGCATGATATCAGAAATTATTGTTTGGAAGGACACTTTCTATTTCAATTTCTGTGCAGCCACAGAAATTAGCTTGTGGAAAACTACTTTTAACTTTATTAGCTTGTGGTTTAGGAATATGAACTCTAAAAAAAAATCAAATCAGTCAACCATTTCAGATAACTGAGTTGGCAGTCTCAGTTCCAGAAATGAAATGACAGATGACAGAAAACTTGTTGGTTATTCCCATTCATTACAGGTGGAAATCAGCAGCCAATTTTTGAACCTGGCTGGATAGAACATAAAGGTTTCCATAAATGTCATTTATTTGCGCACTGAGCAATACTTGTTGACCTTCAAAGATGAAAGTAAACACGGAGGAAAGGGTAATGGCAGTGACTTTTTAAGAATGGTCAAACAGTATAATGCCTCCTCTTCTGCTTTGCCTGAAGTGCTTCTAGTATTAGGGTGCATGATATGCTAGAGAGGTGGAGAAAGGAAGCAAATAGGAATACGCTGGGAACTGAAACACTGAGCCTTGCCCTTGATGTCATTAGGTGAGCAGTGAGTGCTGGTTGTTCCCCTTTCAAAAGGTGATTACATTGAAGACACATCTTTACAAGTCTTTATAGCCACACGCTGCACAAGCTACAGTGCTACAGTCGTGCATTGCACCTTAGCTACAATGTTTGCAGTCAACGTGGAAACACTGGCAATACCAGACACTGCCTGCCTCCTTGAATTCTGGCATGGGTGTCATGGTTTTGCTTCCTAGTCAAACAGTGTTTGGTTATTTGTATCTGCATACATGTAAATATTTTCCTCTACTTCTCATCATGTACATCTATTCTAGTATCGCCGTGCTTAAAAAAGGCATTGCGGTTCAAGTTGATAAACCAATGGAAGTAAGGATAGGACCAGTTCAGTGGTTTCCAGTGGGGTTTTTTTGACTATTCTTAAGATATTCACTAAATATGCCTAGTTAGGAAAAACACTTGTATGCTTCTGTGCACATGGCAGTGATAGCATCTCCCTGAAGAAACATTCAGACCAGCTGGCAAATTAAATTTGCTTTTCTGGGGAACTTAGCCTTTGGGGACCATGTTATTTCACACTTTGTGTCCTATAGAATTCAAAACAAAAAGCAGTAAAACATGTGGCTTCCTTTGCTCCACATTTCATCATTCCATTTAAAAATAACATTTTTGTATATAGTGGATTGCTGAGATAAACAATGAACCTGTGTCTTACTTGAGCGCAGAAGCCCGGTAACGACAAAATCAAGGAAACTGAGAGTTAAGGTATTCACCACAGTAGAATCAGAAGGAGAGAAAGCTTGTGTAGCCTTTGAGCCTTCTTTCGCACTAACTCTTCAAGCAAAATTTAACCTACTAACTTGAGCATCAGCCCCTCCAGTATTTTTCTTGGTCTCTAAATCATTAATATGATTGGTTTGTTAGTTGGATGAGCAGTTTGGTTAGGAGCATGGCTGACTGGTGAGAAATTCTTTTCATCCCTTTCATTTTCCATTCCTAAATTGATTACTGATTTTGATGGAGAGGAGAAATGAAACACTACTGTTTGTTTCATTATTTTGCAGGACAAGAAATAGCTCAGATGTAGAAGACATCAATTCCCCAAGTCAGTAGCTATAAAAAATTCAGTGCTTAGTTTTGTGATCCCCCTTATGTTAATCTAACAGCTGTCTTCATAAAAAGATCCGTTAATTTCAGTCATGCAGCTGCTCTTGGCCTGAAGTAAGAATTAGATGTTTATCAATTTAACGGCTAAGTATTAAGAAAGGCTTTTTGCATCATCTGGGGTTCCTGTGTCCATGGGGATGTATATTTGTACATGTGTACATCGTTGGTTTATGACTAGATCTGCCCTAAAGCTCTTCCAGCTGAGGCCAGGCACATCTTAAGTAACCTAAGCAGTCACTTCTGGCTTTGCTGGGCACATTGAGATTTTGCCTTATATTGGGAATTGCCTTTAGCATAGTCTGGGCTCATGTACTCACTACAGTACATGTTTCATTGGTCCTGTGATGCCTTTTATATTATTATAAAGTGGACAACAGCCAGTTGTAGATACACACTCATTATTCAAAAAAGATTCTGCCAAATGACAGTGTTGGGAGAAGGTATCTCTCAGTGGCAGTTCTTAACGGCTTCCTTTACAACTATGGCTTACTGTGGGGTTTTTTTGTGTCTGTATGTAGACTGTTCTGGCCATGTGTGTACATGATTGCAAATGATGTTTAGAATTTTATTTCCTTGTGGTTTCTCCCTTCCAGCTACGAACATCTCTTGGAAAAGGAAGAGCATTTCTTCGTTACTCCCTGGTTCACCAAAGGCTAGCAGACACCTTGCAGCAATGTTTTATGAACACCAAGGTGACCAGGTAAATAGCAAAGTACCTTGTTGACTAATGGGTGTTTGCTCAGTCTGATCAAGCAACATCACCTAGTAGCTATTGAGAGAAATTGAAACCCTTCCAAATGGGTGGCTTAGACAGCTGGTAATAGGATAGGAAGGATAATAAACCTTTTGGCCTCAGTCACCAGTTCATACCTATCTTAGGCTGGTAAAGGTTGAAAGTTGTTTCAGCGAAATGTGTGTGAAGTGGGTGGTGCTGACGCTTCTATATGTCAGTTTCAACAGTGACACTTTTATAAGCATTGAAGATCCTGGGGTTGGTCTTCTGTGCTGTACATCATAAGGGAGAATTAATTTGGGTGTGTTGCGCAAAGCCCCAGAAAGCATTTGTATATATCTCTGGATTGTCACACAGAGGAAGAGCTTGCCCCTGGCCAAGGAACACCAAAGATAGTTTGTAGTTGTTTGGAGGGGCACTGGTATGGCTTTTAGAAAAAGCAGACTATTTTAACAATGTATTTAACTCTGGTCACTGCTTTCTGTCCCTCATTTTTTGATGTAGTAAGTTTGTGCTTTAGGTATTTACTGTGTAATTATCCAGTCTATAGCAAATATTTTATCTTGCCAGTGTTTTGCCCAAGCACTAGAGCAAAAAATATTTTGTGCAGGGGCTCCTTCAAAGATATTTCTGTGGAATTCATTGAAGCTGTTTGCATTCATTCACGTCAAAGGGATGGGATGTTGGTTGGTGTGACTGATTGTTTTCGGTTTGTGTTTAGAATAGTGTATCATAATTTTTCTGGGGTGGAGTGAATAATGGTGGTGTAAGGTTTTTTTACAAGTGAAACTACTGCTTCTTTTTTACTTATGAATGAGTATTAATTGTTGTTTTGTTTGGGGTTTTTTATTTTCAAGTGACTGGTACTATGCAAGAAGTCCATTTCTGAATTCCAAAATGAGTTCTGACATTGTGGGTCAACTCTATGAACTCACCGACGTTCAGTTTGACTTGGCATCAAGAGGCTATGATTTAGATGCTGCTTGGCCAGCATTTGCCAGGTAAAATAGAAACACTTTGTTATTTTGTATTAACAGGGCCATAAAATATCTCCCTGCTACAAAATCTGTATAAGCTTCTGCTTTTGAAAGTAAGAATACTTGTGTTAGAGCAGGCATACACTTTCTCCATGTAATTAGTCTACAACAAAATTGGCCTTTTTTTCTTTCAATAAACTGTGTACCAGAGATCAGAGTTGATGCTCTTTAATGGAATACTTTCAGTAACTGCAGTTGAGGCCCAAATCCCAAGCTATTCTCATCTTCACAGGCACAAGAAGAAATATTCTTAGCTCCTTTTGTTTTGAGAGCTACAACATGTAGTGACTGAACAGCCAAGCAGTGTGCTTCACCTGCACCAACGGTAGAGGTGACAATATGTGGTCATCACAGCCTGATCCCACCTCTAAGGGGGGAATAACAAAAATTACTAGGTCTGATCCAGACTCGTTTGTATCGGTTGGAGTTTTCTAGGGCTGCATGCTGCCACCACCTGGTTGAGCCGCCACCACACAGCAATACAATTTCTTAGAGCAAAGCTGCATTGGTTCTTGTGGATGTGGGAAGTCACAGCTACCAACCCCATAATCTTCTATAGGTGCCTTTGATATCCCTGTTTCATTTTCCATCAAGATCAGTGGTTGTTGGCCCAGACACCAGGTGCAGTTATGTCTTTTTGTATGTGGTAGTTACAACTAGATAAATCTTGCATGTAAGACATGTATGTATGTGCTTAGACTTCTCTTATACAGTTTCTCTGTGTGATCAACAGGAGGACACTGTCCTCGCTTGGATCTTCAGCATATTTATGGAAGCCCCCAAGTCGCAGTTCCAGCATGAGCAGTTTAGTGAGCAATTATTTGCAGGTAAGCAAATTACAAATAAATGGTTATGTGGCATGGTAGATTAATGGTGTAGTTCCAGAGAGCTTGGTAGCTTTATGGTCATTATGACCATTATAATGGTAAGCTACAAAAAGAGTTCTTAATTAAAAGTAAAGGGAATTGTCCAGTAGCTGATTCAACTGAACATGCAAATCTTGTAGAGGAAAAAAAATTATATTCAGAAGACTGCCTGTAGATAGGTATGTTTTCATTTATATTTTGGGAAAACAAGCCCACTTTCCTGTAAGTTGATATCTTGTAGTGCTGTGGTACAACACCACTGTGTGTTAAAAACCTGAACTTGCTCTGATTTGAACACACCATTTAAATGCATGTTTAATACTTCTTAAACTTTCTGGTTTTCCCCTTCTGTTCATTTAGGCCCAAGAGTTTCCCTCCAGCCCTGATGCAAATAGCTCACTAAATGTTGAACACCTTGAGGGCTTTGAAGAGATGCGTGTAGAACTTGACCAGGCTGAGCTGAAGCAGAGGGAACTTCAAGGTCGTATTCACCAGCTAGAAATGGAAAACCAGGAGCTCCAGGCAGCTGTCAGCCTTCAGAAAGAACAAGTACAGGTAGAAAAGGAAAAGAGCAATAACTACAGTGAGGAGAACTCCCGACTGACAAAGATGATCACAGAGTTACAGAAGCAGTGTGAGGTCTCACACTCCACTCACAGCACTGTTCATGACCTGCAGAAATGCCTGCAGTCACTGGAACTGAATGCAGTGGAGCAGCAAAAAGAATATTCGACAAAGCTGGAGCAGCTCGTGACCAGCAAGGAAGACTGTGCCTCAGAATTGCAGATGTTGAATCGGGAGCTGGAAGCCTCTAGAGCTTTGGTTGCTATGAAGGATTTTTTCATCAATGAGCTCAAAGCCAAGCTGAGTTCCACAGAACAGAAGAACCTCAACCTCCTTGAAAAAGTTGATGCTGCCTTGGAGGAAAAGGGACAGCAAGCCACAGCCAACTGTGACTCTGCCCTACAGATACAGGCACTGTTAGAGAAGCTTCAGGAGGCAGAAAAGGAAAAGGCAGATATGCAAAGACTCAATGATGAACGTGCGTCTCAGCTGAAAGCAGCAAGGGAGGAGCTGCAGCTGAAAGAGGAGGCACAGAAGGAACTGGAATCCAGATACAATCGCCTCACTGCTGACTCCAGAGAAGAGAGTGAAAAGCTGCTTGGGAGCCTGGAAAGCATGGCAAAGGAAATGGATGCACTTCAGAAGGCCCTGACCCAGAAAGGAAAGGAGATGGCTGAGCTCCAGACCCAGGTAATGGGGTCGCTGGCTCAGGTGGGGTCACTGGAAAAAAGTCTTGAGGAAGCAAGGAAAGAAAAAGAGAAACTTGAGGAGGTGTATAGTAGGAGGGAAGGAACACTGAAGCAGGAAGCCCAGTCGCAAGCAGAGCAACTTGAACTACAGGAGGGTCGCTTAACAAAGGTGAGTCAGACTGTGTGTAGCCTTGAGGAGCAAAACCGGAAACTCTTGTCTGAGAAAGAGCATCTCAGCCAGAAAGCCAAGGAGCTGGAAGAGCAGATGGAGCAGCAAAACTCTGCAGTGAACGAAATGGGTGAGGAGAGCAGAAAACTGAAAGCGGAGAATGCAAATTTGCAGCAGTCCAAGAAGAAGATGGAAGGGAAGCTGAAAAATTTGGAAGCTTCTAAAGCTTCCCTGGAAGCTGAGGTAGCCAGGCTGAGAGCCTCTGAGAAACAGCTTCAGAGTGAGATAGATGATGCCCTGGTGTCAGTTGATGAAAAAGAGAGGAAGCTACGGGGCCAGAACAAACAGCTGGATGAAGACTTGCAGAATGCAAGGAGGCAAAGCCAAATTCTGGAGGAGAGATTAGAGGCTCTTCACTCAGACTATGAAGAACTAAAGCAAAGAGAAGAGACCACCAAGGAGTCTTATGCCTCACTTGAAGGACAGCTGAAGAGTGCCAAACAGCATAGTTTACAAATGGAAAAAAGCTTAGCCACCCTGAAGGAAAGCAAAGAGTGTCTCCAGTCACAGCTCACAGAGAAGGAGGTAGAACTGCAAGGCATGGAGAGCCAGTGTGAGCAGCTCAGAGAGGAAGCTGAAAAACATAGGAATAAAGCAGAGGCTCTTGAGGTAGAAAAGCTCAGTGTTGAAAAGACATGCCTTCATCAGACAAAGCTGATTGAATCCCTCACATCAGAAAAGGAATCAGTGGAAAAACACCAACTACAGCAGGCGGCTTCTCTGGAGAAGGAGGCAAAAGAGCTGGCCTCCAGACTGACCATGAGTGAAGAGCAGTTGGAGGTCAACCGAGGTGAAGTGTCTAGGCTGCAAGCAGAAGTCCTAGACCTGAGAGTCAAGCTTCAGCAGACCACTGATGAGAGAGAGCAGGTGAGAGGTGAGCTGGCAATCACAGAGACTGTCTTGGATGAGCAGAAGGCACTTGTCCAGCAGCTGAAGGAGCAAAGTGAGTCACTCAACAGAAACCATGTGCAAGAACTGGTGCAATGTAAAGAAAGAGAAGAAGCGCTGAAAAAAGAGCAGGAGACAGCAGCCCGCCAAAAAGCTGATCTGGAAAATACTTTGCTGAACCTGAAGGAAGAGCTATCCAAGGTTAAGCAGTACTTGGAAGTTGCTAGAATGGAAAACGAAGAAAACAAAGATCTCCTCCACAGGACCAACACAGATATGGCTGAACTTGGTATTCAGATTTGTGCCTTGACCTCTGAAAAGGTGGATGCAGAAGAGCAGTTAGCCCAGGCCACAGAAAGGTTCAAAGAACTGGAAGAACAGGCAGCAGATCAACAGGGGAAGCTGAAGCTTGACATCTCTAATCTCAGAGAGGAGAACAAGAGCCTGCAAGAGAAATTACAGGAGGCTCAAATGTGTGCCGCAACTGTCCCAAGTCTGCAATTGCAGCTGGAGACAGCAAAGAAAGAGGCACAGAGTCTCCAAGAGACCAGCCAAGAAGAGCTGTCTGCAATAAAATTTCAAATGAGCACAGAGATTCTAAATTATCAGACAAAATTCAAGGTAAATTAATGTGATTATTATAGGTGAGGGAGCTGTGCAGGATTTCCCCTGCTTTACCATCTGCTGCAGCAATTACTGTGCAAAATCCTAAGGTTTGTGTCAGTCAGGCTCTGAGACTAGCACACAGCTAGCCTTAGTCTGGGAATCTGAAAATGTCTCTACAGTCATGACCTAGGCCTATTTGAGGTAACATAACTCTTCAGAGTTTTTTGGAGATGTATAATGAGGCCATCCAAACATAGTGAAGAGGCCATGTGATATGGAAAAGCCAGCCAGTAATGGAGAGGGTGATGATTTCTTATGTTGGCACTGAAGGTGGCATCTTCTGTAACTATTCCCTCTGGTCACAGCTGTGATTTTTTTCTGTTTTGGTAGGAACATTGCAAAACCCGTTCCCCACACCTGTAACACTACTTCTCCTTAAAACTGATTTTGATGAAAGCAAACTTAGACTGAGACCAGATACTTTTGCAGTTAATTCCCTCATGTATTTTTGCTTTCAACTGCTCAAGGTAGCAGCTTAGAAGATCAACGTTTTGCTCCCAGAAAAACGTGAGTCAACCCTGTATGTGTGAAACAGCACACCTAAAGGCTGAAGATTGTATTGTGTTTGTTCTGCCATTCTGAGGTAATGTCTAAGACTAGCAGTTGATCAGAGGCTTATGCCACTGCTGTTATCCAGAAATTCCACAAGTTTGAGAAAATAGCATACGTTCATTTATGTCTTGTTTCATAAAGGCTTCCTGAACCTCAGTATGATTTGGGCTATCTCAGTCTTTTGAGCCAAAGCAATTCACAAGCTGGGCCTTCTTTTTGTTGAGAACTGTAGTAGCCCATAGCTAGTAACTGTAAAGCATAGCTGGTCTACCACCACAGAGGGGAGTTTCGTTGAATCCATGAGTTGGATGTCTCTTTAGCTGTCTTTCATGAGCCTGATGGTGGTGCTGCATTTATCCCATACATGTCAGTAAGAGCACTTATAATTCACAACTGGGAATTTCATAGATGAAGGGGTGGCCGCTAGAGGAATGCTAACACATGGCTCAATCTCTCTGCTAGGCTGTCAATGAAGAGTGTGGGAAACTAAGAGAGCAACTTGAGGAGCAGAAGCGACAACAATGTGCTGCAGAGGAAGAGATTGAGGAGTTACAAGTAGGTGCTCAATCGGATTAAGAGATGGAGGTGTTTGTGTCAGCAGGCATTAGTGTTATAATTGAGAAGGCAGGCAGCATTTCTGACGACTGTGAGTCTGAAAAAGCCCTCGAATAAAGTACAGGTGCTGCAGACAAAATACTCAGCCACCAAAAGTTAGCCCCTGAAACAGAGTACAAGCAGCACAATGGTATTTAGGATTTGTCCTGCCTTGAAAGCTAGTCAGGTTCTATCTAAGACCTGGTTATATGTACACGTCTTAAATGGGAGTGCAGGTTTAAAAGGTGTCTGTCTCAGGCTCTGCATGCCCACCACCCACGACCACAAGCGTGGATTCAACTGCTTGCAGGCTGCAAGGGGCACTGAATCAGAGAATTAATCTGGCTGAGAAATAATGCAGCCAGAAAGAAATAGGACTTTTGTAATACATTTATCAAACAATTGAGCTAGGAGGGTCTTACTGAGGTGTAAGGAATCCAGAAAGAAGAAAGTTAAGGTTATTAAACCTGGCCCTAACTGCTAGCAGAAATATGTACACCTTTAGATGCAGTTAGGTATGTTCCCTGAGGACTCCAACTTTGGCAGGCTTCTCCAGAGAGGCTAGCTCTGAAAGAAGTTTTTGCTTCCATTGTCCTTCATGGTCCATATAGCTTTAGTAAATGACATTTTCTTAATTTTCAATTTTTTTCCTTTTGAAACTTTTAGGTGGTGAAAAACCTTTAGGGCGTATTCTTTTGCCATTATTTTTGAGAGATTTTCCTTCATAAGGAGGCAAAAGCTGAACTGACAGGGACTCATAAGAATTACAGGCTTAATACTGCCTCACTTTAGAGTCTATCCCTTATTCAGTGTGACAGAAGTAATCAATCACTAGTACACAACTAATTAGTGTCTGCTTATACAATAATATCTTAATTGGTGGTTTGGCTTTAACCGATTCTTTTAAAGCATTGTTTAGGTGTCTTGGTAATTGTTCAATGCTTGGTAAAGTGTTGGTTTTATATGTAAGGGAATACAGTAATTTTTTTCACTAGGCTGCAAACACGAGTTTGTCTAGAAAGCTGGATGAAGCACAAGAGCAGCTGTCTGAATCAGAATCTGTTCGGCTGCAGAAGGAAGAGGAAGTGACGACTCTGAGAGAGCTCTTGGAAAGGTGGGAGTTTGGGTTCTTTACACAAGCCATTAATTGTAAGCCAAGCAAGAGGCGAACAACCAAAGCATATTGAAAATTGCTGTGGTTTATGAAGTAGCATATGCCACGGAGTTTATATAGGGCAAATAGTGCATGGGCACTGATGGGGAATATTAGGTTGACACTTCAGATGAGAAATATGTAAATTACACAGCACACATGAATGCAAGGTTTAGGTTTTATTGTATTGTATTGTATTGTTAATTTAGCTGATGATATAAATTCATTGTTGTGGTTTAACCTGGCAGGCAGCTGAACACCACACAGCCGTTCGCTCACTCCCCCCCTCTCCAGTGGGATGGGAGAGAGAATTGGGGAAAAAAGTAAAACCTGTGGGTTGAGATAAAGACCATTTAAAAAAACAGCAGAGGAAAAGAATAACAACAACAATAATCATAATAATGGTAAAAGAATATACAAAACAAGTGATGCACAATGCAATTGCTCACCACCCACTGACCGATGCCCAACCCGTCCCTGAGCAGCGATCACTGCCCCCTCGACCATCTCCCCCCAGCTTATATACTGAGCATAACATCATATGGTCTGGAATACCCCTTTGGCCAGTTGGGGTCAGCTGTCCTGGCTGTGCCCCCCGCCAGCTTCTTGCACAGCTGACAGAGCATGGGAAGCTGAAAAGTCCTTGACCAGTGTAAGCCCTGCTTAGCAACAACTAAACCTTCATTGAGTTATCAACATTCTTCTCATGCTAAATCCAAAACACAGCACTGTGCCAGCTATGAGGAACAAAATCAACTCTATCCCAGGCAAAACCAGACAATTGTATGTCTTCTTTTGTGAAACTGCAAGACATTTTATAACCTCCTTTTACCTTATTCATTAGTCACAAAATTAAAAGACCAATATTGGCTCTTTTTCTTTCATCTTTCATAAGGAATGGAAAATTTGTGCTTTTTGACAGTTTGTTTTTTCTCTCATCTCCATGAAGTTTCAGGGAATCAGTAAGAATTATTTGAATGGGACCACATCCTGCATGTCTGTGTCAGGTTTCTTACCAGTTTAAAGTATGTCATGCAGATGTGTTTCCAAGGTCTGTGATGTGGGCCTATCTGGTGCAGATTATCTGGCAGTCCAAAATAGATCTTCATGAGGCATGGGCTTGCAGAGAGTCTAATGGCTTAACCAAAACCTATGTATTTTTACATGTTTGTGCCGATATCATCACTCTCTGTGGGAAGATTGATAATTCTTGATCTGTGCTGAAGGTTGTCGGTACAAAATGTAACTTATCAAAATATTTGAATTCAGCTGAGTTTGCTGAGTGAGTTCAGACCAGCTCAGTGCCTCATGTTGTGTTGCTGTAGCATTTTTGATCCATTGCTAGGACTTGCAGTATCGTCAAGTCAAGACTGTTATATTCTTGGAAGCTTTCTGGGGACACTTCTTTCCACTGACTGTGCAGTGAACTGAGTTGTCTTAACCTTTAGTTTTTGAATTGCCCCTGTGTTAGAAGAATATAGTGAGAAACTGGTTTTGCTTTCCTTTTGTGAACATGAAGGCTATGGAGGAGTATGAGTTAAACAGCCCTTTTGTGTGCAACCTGCAAATGCTGGACAACCTGCAGCTGTAGGACTTTCCCGGTTTAGCTCAGTTTGCAGCTGCTGATGATCTTAGCTTCCAAGGACACTGATTTTATTTCCAGGGTGATAGCCATCATAAGCTTCACTATAAGCAAGGCATCCAAGAAATTCCTGATTGCTGACTGTGTTTACCAGATAATGGATCTGTGTGCACTTTCAGTGATGCAGAAAACTGGAGAGATTCTGGCTAGCTATAAAAAACATTCACACTGAAACTACCTGTTTATCAGGGTGGAGGACCCCTTTCTTCCATGAGGAAGACTTGAATGCACATGATCTAAAAACAATTCTTAATTGCCTTTGTATTTGATCAGGATCCAAAAAGAAGCTGATGAAGCAAAAGAGAAGGTCCTGGATTACAGTGAGAAGCTCAGCAAGGTGGCAGCAGACAAAGATAGCAGCGACCAGAAGTTATTTGCTGAACTGGATGATCTGACGAGAACAAAGCAGTTCCTTGAAGAACGTTTGATAGAACTTATCAGGTTGGCATCAAAATAAACAGAAGGCAGAAATTAACATCCTGTCTAGGCTGTTAAGGGATACTGCCTGGGTGGTTCAGTCTTGTATTCCTGAACTGAAGATACAGGTAATGGCCAAGTTCATCAGCAGTTGAAGTTTTGCATTTCCATAATGCAGTCAAAAATGCAACACCCAGTATTATCTCTTCCTTAATTTGCTGTCTGTTTTGCAAAAATGTGTAGTTCTCTGCATGGCATGTGTTTTTCTCCCAGCCTTCCCAAAAGTTTTGGTAAGTTTCTTGATCTATATTTCTGAAAGCTCCTCACAAGTTACAGCAAAGCAATTTTTATTGTGAAGCTTTCACTAACATTCAAATTGAGTTTGGTTAACAGTTAAGCAGGACTGATAACTTCAATGTATTTTTCTTTAATTTAACTGTGTCTCTGCAGAGATAAAGATGCTTTGTGGCAAAAGTCAGATGCTCTGGAGTTCCAGCAGAAGCTTAGTGCAGAGCAAAGGTGGCAGGGGGACACAGAGGTTAATCATTGTCTGGACTGCCAGAGAGAGTTCTCATGGATGGTGCGCCGACACCACTGCAGGTCAGTTTGTTGAACTCTGTTACACTGTTCAAAAGCAAAATTCAGTATGATCATTTAAATGGATGAAACACTTCTTAATGGTTGTTGTGATTTAACCCCAGCCGGCAACTAAGCACCACACAACCACTTGCTCACCCTCACCCTACTGGTGGGATGGGAGAGAGAACTGGAAGGGCAAAAGTAAGAAAGCTGGTGGATTCAGATAAGAACAGTTTAATAATTGGAATAAATAAATAATAATAATGATGTAGTGAAAAGGAAAACAACAACAAACAAAGAAAGGGAAAGA